ATATTAGATCGTCGATTCATTTTCACTTAGTTAATGATTATTGTCGTACACTGTACACATCATATATTATATAAATCTATATTAAAATTAAATACGCTCAAAACCACTACTTTTTATGTGTCTATTGTAGATTCTATGGCATTTTTAAGTGTTCTTTTCATACACTGTACACGTACAGACGTATAGCATAATACAGAATTTTACGACGATACGCATTTTGTTTTGCGCTACACACTATATACCTATTTAGAAGGCACACACACGCACTTTAAAAGCGTCTAATATGTGAATAACGATTCGTAATTAATTATCTTCGTTAAAGTAATTTAATTAATTAAAAACGAATCGCAATAAATATGAATGATTTTTCAGACGGTTTATTGTACATTAATTATGGTTTATTATTCCGATGGTTGATAATATTCAAATGATCGATTCGTTATTCGTACCATGACAATAAATCAAATTAGTGATGATTTTAACACTGCCGCCTGCAGGTATTTAGGATTTTCCGTATATGCATCATGCTGTATTATATTGGTACGTACTTATTATACCTATGCACAATGCACTCATATTATATGCATATAATATGACATTGTGATTTATGACTATATTTGTTATACTTTAATTAGTCAAACTTGTGCCCAACAAGTTCATAACAAATAGGAAAAACTTTCTAAAATCATTAGGCATAGGTAGGTACTATATATTTGTTGTGCGTCGAAAGCTTAGTACCTAGTTTATTTTGTATTGTCGCCAATACCTGCACTTTTGTCGTAAAAATAAAATAACACATTTTATTTGAATCTATATAGACAAAAATTGATTAAAAAATAATTAACCAGATCTCTATGTTATAAATAAATGTCATAATTCGCATTACAATGTTATATTTATCATTCCCGGAACATAGAATTCGTATATAGTCCTCCTCCCTAAAATTCCCGTAAAGTCACCCTCATAAATTATTTGGTTCCTGTAGATTTCTAACCAACTTATTTTTTCCAGAAAATATGTATTATGGCCCGTATGAAATAACTTTCTGTAATTTTACAGCCTCCCTTCATTAAGTTAGAATTGTATTTATAATATTTTTAACAGCAAAATAGACAATAATTAATAATGCAATTACAGCATCGTTATTATTCTTTATCTCTTCTCATGTTGAGAGAAAACTAGATATATATACAATATACATGTATATAATATCATTTATTATATATAGCATTATGCCTATATTGTTGTGCTGTCAATTAACATATACAATCAAACCAGAAATGTACAAATCATTTAAAAAAGTTGTTAACAATTATTAGCATTTTCGAAAGGAAATCGCGTATAACCACAAATAACGCCGCATTTACTACAATTATTATTTTTATTTTATTATTCTACAGAATAATACCCAGAAATTCTAGGCTAAAGTACGTTTAAAATTTTGCTTTCGTAAATTTAACCTGATGTGTGTAGATGCCTTATCTATGCTCGTTGTCCAGTGACAATAATTACAATCACGAAAGTCGTGTTACGTTGTGCAGCGTAGTATTACTCGTAAATTATTGAAGATACAATAACATAATTGTTGAGGTATTCTAGGTATTATTCTGTAAAATAGGTGATAAAAAAAAAAATAAAAACTGTAATAAATACGGGGTTGTTTGGAGTTACACTCGATTTCCTTTCAAAAATGTTAGTAATTGTTGACAACTTTTTAAAATAATTTGTACATTTCTGGTTTGATTGTATAGGTTAGTTGATAGCACAATACTATAGCTATAATGCTGTGTATAATAAAAATGCATTGATATTATGATATATATGATGTATCTCGTTCTATCTCAATATGAAAAGAGATAAAGAATGACAATTACGCTATTACTAACATTACTTAGTTACTTGACGTTACTAACATTTAAAAATTATATTAGCCCCCATATCTGCTTAACCCATTACCATAGACATTTTATCCTTAGTAGGTACACAAAGTTAAATAACTCAAAATTAAACTATTCGTTCGAATTTTGATTTAGATACACCAAAATTCTCAACAAATATATACGCTGAATAATTAAAAGTGAATAGGGGGAGAGGGTTCCTATTTGAAGAACAGAAGTTTGTAGTGCAACAGCAGGATCATCTTTAAGTGATACAACAAAATCATAAGTAATCGAAAATATGGTCTTCAAGTATATATATTTTAATAATTCCAAAAATCAGAATTTAACTTTTGGAAAATTACAACTATTACTCTATTATTCGATTATTTGATATCAGTGGCCATTTATTTTTGAACAAATTGAAGCTGTCTAGGTGATAAAAGAAACTGAAATAACATAGTTACTATCACAATTAGGTACCTACTTAATATACTTACTATATTCTGCACCAAAATAAATAGTCCTGATGATTTGAAGTATAATTAATTTTCTCAGCAAAACAATAAAAAAATACAGTAAATGATAAAAGGTAGGTACATTTATAAATTATTTTGGGTTAACTGCATACTATTGCGTGCCTTCGGGGTCGAGTCTTTGGTAGTTGAGTATATGTAACATTATAACGTAACACAAAGCTTTTATTACATTGAACCATTTAAGTTATGTTATATCCATATATTATTGACTGATTGATTATTTTTAATATAAAAGTTGGAATGAAAAGATAGAACTTATATCGTGTTTTTGAATTTTTTGTTCGTTGGTTGTATTCTTGTAGTTTATTTATCAAGAAACTCTATTAAATATACATCGTGCATTTGTGCTTAAAACGCACGCCTTATACATCATGTTATACAACGATTATTAAAATAATATATATATATATATATAAATATAGAAAACCGGTTGTTAAACTCTACGTGAATGTTGAAAAAAATGATATGATTCTTATTATTGTTTTAAAACAAGTACATAGCCCTACCTATCTACGACATTATTTTCTTTAGTACTATTACATAGTTTCATGACAGTACTTACGTCTCGTAATATTTTCATCAAATGCTTCAGTAGGTATAGTAAGCTTTAAATTCGTGACACATTATTTAATACTATAGTTAGTTGATATTATGGCTGTGAAAGAGAAACCGTTATATAATTTTTTTAGCTATTTTAAGGAGATTCAATTTCAATATTCACTGTTTTAAGTATAGACTAGTTCAAACGTCTAGAGTGAAAATAATATTATAACGTTTAAGTATTGGTATTCTTTTGTTCGTATAATTATCTTTATTTATGTATATATATTCTATACTACTCTATAGTCTATATTATCAGTTTTTAGCATATACCTACCATATTATTATGTATTGTATGTTTGTGTATAATGTATATAATATAGTGTTTACGCTTCACTCTTTACTCTAGACGCGGGTATAAATAAATATTTTACAGTTTTGCAAAATTATTTAGTGAGGTAAGTATTGTCTTATTCCTATAATCCGATGGTATAATATATCATACCTAAGTATTATAAATTAAAACATTATAGTGTACTTACAACTTCATTCCTTTTTCATTGAGTAATCAGTATGCATAGTGTGTAATGTCACTAATTTACGTCCAATGCTATCCGTAAAAAATAATAATAGTTTGTAAGACATCTAAAAATTATTCAAATAAAATTTAAAAACTCAATTATTTTATCTAAATTGAATTATGTGTTTAGTTTGTTAATCATGTATTATTCATTATCTGACAAGTTTTAAATAAAAATAAAAAATGTAATTAATAGTTAATTCCTGGACTTATTATTTGTATATAGGTAGGGACATCCATTGTACTCGTATAATCTAAATTTGGTAGAGTGTAATTTTCAGACACTTGATCCTCCGTCCTTACCATGTGTGTATAAGAATATAAATATCAAAAATAATATAATATAGGTGATAATATATTATATAGTATTTATGATGAGTTCCCAATTTTCCATGTATTTAGATAATTAGGTAGTTAATAACTATTAGTTATTATTCTTATTACTAATTTGTAATTACTTATACATATTGCTATTTATACAGTACACAAATATACAATGTACAGTATACTTATACTAAGCTTTTGTTGAAGTCTATTACTGGTATTTTTACTGATAAATTGGTATTTAATTTTATTCTAATATAACAATGTTTAAATATAATTAATTATCTTTCTTGAATAGTATTGCATAATAATAACTGTAATACAACTTAATATTTATTATAAAAATTAAAAAGCGCAATATTTTGATTTCAAACATAGATATGAGTTGTAGGTTATAAAAATACATTTAATAGCGATATTATAATTTTATTAGACCTTCCTTGCAGGAATTTATTCAAATCAAAAATGTATGTCCGTAGGTCAGGTATATGTCTAAGTAATAGCCGGTATAGGCATAGGTAGCTGGTATAGAGGTAATAGTAGGTATACCTATACACCGTATGAGTGAAAAAAATTATAAATAATTTTGATTTAGTTTAATCGTGGAAGACTAATTATTATGTTATTATCCATATTATATTAAACTTATTTTATTAGTATGATTCAAAATAGATAAAGTCATACAAGTACAACAACACTAAGGCATTTAAATCATAATAAAAAAAAAAATGTATCTTTGAAGGTTTAATATGTCATGAAAACGAATAGCGTTGTTTATTTTCATTGCGAACTATACCGGTATCAGCCGCAGTATTGTGCGGTCGTATTGGTTCTAACTCATAACTAATATTGTGTTATACATAACGATTTGACCTGTTGGAAGTGACTTAATATTTTGTCGTCCACTCCGAATATCCGAATATCGGATAGAGTTGAATAAAAAAAAATAAAAATAAAAATAAAAAAAACGTGCAGCGAGACACGACCATTGGAAGGAATGACCCTATTCCTAGTAAGAAAAATGGCGAGTCGCAGACCTTGAACACATGCGCACATGAACTCGGAACGCGCGAGCGCTAGGGAATTCGATTGTGGAGTAGAGGAAACTGGTTCTGGTTTGTGACCAGCAGAACTCCGCCGGCATATTACACGGGCTAGTTGGTTCTCCCGGGTCTTCGCGTTAACTCATGTCTGTTTGTTTACCGTAAAATACCACCGCCGTCTGTCTTTAGGTTACCGTTAGACCTCCTCGTATACCTTGTGTTTGTTGTGTGTTTTATACCCGCGAGTGAGAACTCGCTTATCGGCATGTACCGGAAGCGACAACACACAAAAAAGTGACGTGGTTTTTGTTTTTCCGTATACAGTCTTACCGAGCCGAGGAAATATAGCCAAAGGTACCTACCATATTTTTATTGCCGAAAAAGTGCAATTAATATCATTTTTTATTTTATTTATTAACAATAGAAAACCGCAATGATTTGTTCAAAAAATGACTAAACATTATTACGATATAAGCAAATAATATTCTGACCGTTACCAAATACTTGTATTTACAATCAATGTTACCACTTATTACTTAAAAACTGATAGTGAAAACCATTGAACCACTATTAAAGTCTCTATTATAGTAGCAGCATGGGAAACATGGTTTTAATTTAATAATGTAAATTTTAATTTTTAGTGATGTATTGTTTTTTTTTACTATTTAGTCATAAGAAGATTAAATTGTATGTTGTAACTATTCAATTTAAGCATTAATAATATCGAAATGATCTAATGGAAATAATGATCATAGTAGTTAGTTTAGATAACTTAATATAGTTTAATCTATGACGGTTTTTGATTTTTGGAAGAGATAAATTACAGGTAACAGATAAATATAAAATAGATTGATAGAAATTTGATTACTTTTGTATTTAATAGCCAATCCAATGACATAACTAAGGGACTGGACTTCCTACATTTTTTTAGGGAGGGGGGGCTTATAGTTAATATTTTTTACTTATCGTGTCCAATGATTATATAGTGTTCTATACCTCAAAAAATTTACAAATATTAAATCTATATGTGTTGATGCTAGACAACACTCTTATAAAAATCTATGAAATTGTAAAATTAATTAAAATAAATACTATATTTATATTGTAATATTTATAACTGTAAGTGTACTTAAAACAATAAAAAAATTGTTATAACTAATTAATCAAATGNCGGTTTTTGATTTTTGGAAGAGATAAATTACAGGTAACAGATAAATATAAAATAGATTGATAGCAATTTGATTACTTTTGTATTTAATAGCCAATTCAATGACATAACTAAGGGACTGGATTTCTTACATTTTTTTAGGGAGGGGGGGCTTATAGTTAATATTTTTAACTTATAGTGTCCAATGATTATATAGTCTTCTATACCTCAAATAATTTACAAATATTAAATCTATATGTGTTGATGCTAGACAACACTCTTATAAAAATCCATGAAATTGTAAAATTAATTAAAATAAATACTATATCTATATTGTAATATTTATAACTGTAAGTGTACTTAAAACAATAAAAAAATTGTTATAACTAATTAATCAAATATTGCATAAAATTCACAGACAAAAATAAATATGATTTTTTGTCTTCGTAAATCGTATAACATATAAATTTAGATGTATATTTCCAACGCTCTTACGAGTTACGTACCGATTGAACTATAGTGAAGCAATAAGAATTCTTAAGACTGATTAAAATTTGTTGTAAAGTCTACTTAAGATTAAAATTCTCGCATTTCTTGATTTTTTCTCCTGAATTGAGGTATGCAATTTTTTTAATTCTACATTTATAATGTAATTTTATTTAGCTCAGTTTACAAGGAGATCAAATCTAAAATGTAGAAAAGCCGAACTCAAGTAGACTTGACGACAAGTTTACAGTCTATTTTCAGAGTTGTATGACTTCACTATTGAAATCGGTATACGTAGGAAGTATATACGTAATAACACATCTAAATTCCAATGTTGTGCTTGGGCATGTGTCAATTATGTCTTTGCCTCAACTATAAAATGCCATGGGAAATCAGACCCCCCTAGTCCTCCCACAGATAATGCCTATACGCCAATACAATAGCAGCGCGTTCAGTGTCGTAAAGACGTAAACTGCGTATAAACATAATTCATTCCGTACAATATTATTAAAATATGTTCATAATTTATCTATTTTATATTTCTACATTTCTTCTTATAAAGTGTGTCACAGTTCACATATAATTTAAAAATATACATACGGTCTAAATTACATACTCCACATGCCATTATTTAAAATTCAAGATCACCCTAAAGGCTAAAGCCTGTTCTTCAATTTTAACCTGAATATTTACATACGAAAAGTAACCTATAATGTTACGTCGACCTAATGTGCCGTTCATTGTAGACAATTTAATATCTACAAAAATGGTTCACGACAACATAAATAATAAATTTAATAATAGCAATAATACCGGCTGGCGTATAATGCATACTGCAGAGACATTATATTTGCATGCTATTATCAACTTATTTGATTTATATTCTAAGTGCAACCAAATTGGAATCGAATTGATGTGAATTTTTTAATACTTTTTAATACCTATTAAAAAGGCATAGAATATAGATATTTCTTGTTAATTAGGCATTGTTATATTTTGTGTTCAAGTCTATAGTACATTTTGTCAAGCGTCCAGGTATTGCATACGTTCAATTAGGTCACCCTACATTAGAATATTATATTTAATAACTACAAATGTCATCTTGTAATATTGGCTTATACAAAATTCTTATTTTAACGTAGATCAAATTGTTGTTATTCAAAATTAACTGAAAAAAAATCCTGGGAATCAGAACTATCAAAAATTTAAAAAAAAATTTAAAATGTTATTCTATAAATTATTATTAAAATACATGTCATTTTCTCAATTGTAGTTTTTAATCGTGAGACCGTTCACTAGATATCATAAGATATTCGTGGATAGATGATTTTAAATGACAGAACGTGACTCAGCGTCTCAACATAATCAAAAAATTACATTAGTAATTCATTTTTTAATATCGAATCCTGTCTTAAACCATTATCTTTATTATTATTTTCAATATTTGAAAAATTAAAGTAGAACGACTTAAAAAGCTTAGAAAAAATCCTTCATATTTTAATTTTTTAAATATAAGGTACAGCAACTGAAACATTAACATTTTCCACAGTGGATTGTACAACACATACATAAAAAGTATGCAAAAAATATCTGATAACTTGTTATTCGATTGATTTTTAGTTTAAATGTATGTAGGTGATACACAGTCAAATATTGTTAAGGTACTTAATTCTGTACCACATAATTATTCGGAATAAAATAAAAGATTACTGAACTGAAAAATGTGTTCTTAGGAAACCGTCAATTTTACGAGTATAGATAATTAGTACGACTACGGTGTTCAGGTCGTTCCACTCGCCACTCAGAGTTTGATTCCGTATCGAATGAAAGGTAGCAGTCTGCAGTAAAGTATACATTCATCCAATTCTATTTTTTAACTAAATGTTTTTAATAAAAAAATCAATAGTACATTTTTTTCAAAATTATTCTATAGAATGGATTACCCATATCCAGGCTGTTCTATAAGGGCGTACATCATAACATTGTATTTTATTTAAATTAAATTCTCAAAAAAAAAAAAATGGATTCTCTAAAGTTGTAATTAATGTAAAATGTGTTACAATGTTTTATTTTATGTTGATATCAATACATGGCATTTAACATTTAACATTTATTAGTTTAGTTAAATTTATTTGTATCAAAGTTCTGTGATATTGTCAAAAAATTATACCTGATCGGTTTTTCAACTGTTACGAAATCATCACTTTCAGTATATGGATCATCTGCAAGGTTAGGTTAGGACAATTCTTCCTCTTTTGTATTTTCAGTTGAATTTGTAACGTTCGAAAACAGCATTATCAAATCATATTTTAACCCACCCATTCAGAAGCGCAGTAAATTAATATAATGTTCGTAATTACTTCTACTACGTTCGAGCTTTTCCATGTCGACTGCAGATTTAAAATAAACAAAAGTATTTGCAAAATCACTTGACAGTCGATAAAGCAGAATTACGATTTTTAAATAATCCATGTTTGTGATAATCTACGAAGTTAAGAACATGAACTAAGACAATATTATACGTACATATATTATTTTAGTTCATATGGTTAGGAACAACACATTGTTTTTGTTTCGCGGTCATCGATATTAATAACTAGTTTAATATAAAATATCTATGTTCACGGAGCATTGGCACTCTTTTGATTGTAAAATGTATAATATCTTCAATCGCTGTACCCATATTTAGTCTTAAATATTATAAAATATGCATTATATTATTTGTTAATAATTATTATTTTAGCTGAAATTCGTTTACGTATACAAACTGCTGAACCCACCTCGCCTGTCCCCCCTCCCCCCTCACCGTCATCACAATGAACTCTCGTGGGCTATTCTAGAAGCTCATAACATATAGTTAGACTATTGGCTATCGTAGATTTTTGGAGCAATTCAAACATTTCATTTAACCACAGTCCTTGGGATATCATTTGGTGAATGGTCCTACTCGCATACCACGATCTGTATTCGGTGGTGCACACCATAAACACATTATTGTTGTATCAATTACATGTAGTATTTTTTTTCTTTCGTCACCATTTGACGTTATAAGGTCGTGGAACGTGCGACAGACATTGCAATTTAATTTATATTTTTCGATAACTGCAGTTTTGTTGATGTATTTGACTTGAGTGGTTTTTGTACAAGTGCGTATTCGTTAGCTGCAGTAAAGTACACAGTAAAGCTGCAATTTCATACCAGAGTGTAGAATAATCCATGAAAATCGTTAATTGTACTTAGCAATATATAGGTAATACACTAATCCAATGCCGATTTCATAGAATATTGTTTACTTATTGAAAAATGAATAAATATTTTGTCCTATTAATTTATTGTATTTGTACATTATGATGACGTGTTCCACTGCTCTGACAAGACCGAACTATATATTATTGGAATAGTTTAGTTTTTCGTTAACTGTAAATAATTAGATAGTACTACAGAATGGGAACACTATTTGATCACCGAAAATGGTGTTAGCATTACTTTTTCCTTCTTTAAGCTACAATCGTATTGGATATATATTATGAAGATGTCTTATATTTACACCACATATTACACTATCATCCATGTTGTTGTTGTTAACAATCGTACCTAGGTATTTTCATGAGTTCATAATTCTTACATTATTTTTCGCGAAGTGTTCTATTAAATAAATCGTATAATAGGTAAATATGCCCTTGTTATGCACCTATATTGCCGTGGTATAGGTATTGAAAAG